AATTTCTCTCACTTTTGATCTTGACACTTGAAACATTCAAGAAATAAATTTTGTCATGTTTCCAATGCGATTCCAGAAAATTACGAACTTAAAACGTCCAAAGGCGGTTTCACGAGACGTCAAATAAAACCCACTTTTTTCGCCTCACGATATAAAGGTAATTCGATCAGTCCAAGTGGTCTCCCACGCATAAATCTGGGAACACAAATCTCCTCAATTACAATAATTGTATTATTTCTCCTAGCCTTATCCTAATCAGTAGAAGAACCGAGTGCTTCGTCGCATTTTAGGATATACCATGTATAAAAGATGATACGGAGAGGATCAACAAGTACCGAAAGAAAATGTGCCTAATCATGAGATGAGCTTGATTTAATCACTCCCATATCCTCCTCTTTGCCTCCTTCTACGTTGTTTTTCACATGGAGTGAGTGTTGGGTTGGCAACGGGATCACGTGAACAAGAGATAGGAGGGATTAGGAGGGATGCCATTTTCTGCCTCCTCCCCCCCCCCTCGGTCTTCCTCCCCCCTCCTTTCGCCAAAGCAAGTCTATGAGCAATTGCTCAAAATAAGTTGCATTTTGCAAAGGGACAGGGACCCCTTGTTGGGAGTGGAAGGGAGGAAGAGTTCGAGTCCTGTTCCCCCGATTTATTTTCAATAATCGATCATGGCTTCGCCGCAGCGGAATGAACTCGAATGAAATTTCTAGCAGATATTGGGAATATATCAGTCGATGCACAGCGCAAGTCTCGTAAGAATCGGTCCACTAAAGCGCAGAGTTTAAATTGTCAACATTTGGGAGCCTTTTTTTTGCAATCCCCTGCTATCTGCTGCGCGATGAAAAATCATCACAGTTTCGAGTTGGGGGCGACACTTCGCCGAAAGGAAAGAAAGCTTCACTGCAGGAAAATGTTATTGAATCACCCCCTTCTCCTCGCATGAGATGTGCGTTTCAGGCGCTCGACGAATTCCGAGAGTTTCAATTGCCTCCTTGCACTTGTTCATGATTATGATTTTTATGAGAAGAGAGAAATAAAAGTCTCGTAACTCGATCTAGTGTCAATACATTGATTCATCGAAGAAAATTATCTTCAACTTTCTTATCATTATCTCCATTTTATGCAATATTTCTGTCTAAAACAAAGCTGAGTAACGATACACTTCTTTCGCTCTTGATGGTCACGTCACCGTTTGCGAGGACAGAAACTCCAGTGATGATTGCCCGAATGTTTTTTTTTTCTTTTAAGATTACTTTGCTAGGAAAACTATATTTTTCAAACCTCTCTGAAACTGAATCTCATTCCGCGAATTTTGTCTCCCTCGCTTCAGGTACTGAATTTATTTGCTAAATTCCCACATCTCAAACTTCGACCAATTACATGCTACTGATTACCCGCAGAAAATCCGATTTCACTTGAGACGTCAAACACGATCCACTGCCGAGCTCAAAGCCCAGAATGATCCCATTGAACAACCAGATAACTAAAGTATCCTCCATTAGAGGAGGTTCTAATGGGAGACACTCCTCTGCAGCTCTAATTGGCTACATTCACGTCAACTGCATTTTCAGCCTAAAAGCCCAATGCGCAATCCATAATAGCATAAGTAATCCGAAACATGGTTTTCATGCTGTACATCCCAACTGCTCTCATCGCAGACATCACGTATTTTCTCCCAATTCAAAGAAACAATCAAAGAAAATTCGCCATAAGAGCACTCTAGATCCTCGCTTATTTCACAGTCTTCTGCAAGGTGCTAGGACAAAATGTCGCCAGGACAAAACGTCGTCGGACATAATGTCCCCAAGACAAAATGTCACGGAAATTTTTTTTTTTGACAAATGTAAACGAGACATATTATCGCTTAACAAAATATTCGGCTTGCGTAATTAAATATGCGTGACAGTGCTGACGATCATGTTGGAATCGCGCGTAGAAGTCAAGAAATGGACCCAAGAGTGACCCACTAGCATTTTAAAAGAACCTCGTCGACGAACATGCAGCTAACATGATAACCATCTTTAGACAATACGTTATCGAAACCATTTAGGGAAGCCTATACGTTCCCACGCCTCTTACTTTCGGCGACTTATTTGCAACAGGAATTTGAAAGCTTTCTTTGAAGTGTTGATATACATCTTGACATTTCTTGATGAAGGGGAGGGAAGCAACCCAAGGAAAAATTAAATTTCCTCTTTAGCCGCCCCCTTTACAAGTCCTCCTCACCCCTAATCCTCCTGTTTTAAAAATGCCTGATGAATGAGACTCTTACTCCCTCGCTGAGATGGCCTTAAGCTAAAAAGGTCATTCATTATAGATAAGGAAACCAAATAGGGAGGGAGGGAAGAAATTCTATAGCATTTAAAGCAGGGATTTGCAACTCACAACACAGTTCGTCTGCCTGCTGTATCATTCCCTGACGAGATGGAGTCCATTCAAACACAGAACATGCAGAAGCTGCAGCATCAAAACTAGCGATTCACGAAGGAAAATGGTGTTCAAGGGAAGATCATTCGGAGATGTGAAAATAGGACTTGTAGAGTAAGAATGCATACTTTTGGTGACCAAGTGCTGAAGGAACCAGGTGAGCAGAGTATTTTTGCATAATGGTTATAAAACACCAGATCCAACGTTTTCTCAGCGGTGACATTTTGTCCTGGCGACATTTGGTCCGCAACATGTTGTCCGCGACATTTTGTCCGGCGACAATTTGTATGTTCACGTTCTGCAAACTCCATCATTTGGAACTCCAATACATATCAACCCCCTTCCGGAGTGTATGCTTAGTCAAATTACCAGGTTTCACTCTTGACAGCATATTCCACATATTCTCTTCTCTGTCCAGAAGTTATCGAAAAGACGAAATGCCTCTTACATGGCAAGATATTTTGCACCCTTTGTGCAAATCTCTTTGCGTACCCTTCTGGTCGATGCTCCTTGTGCTCCATACATTTGCTATTGCATTTCTATATATTTTTTATTTTATAGCAGCGGTTTATAGCTTTGTCCCAGAATCTGGCAGTCATGAACAGAATCATCAATTTTATAATGGTAGAATATTTTTTGGACGAAAGCAATTGTTTATTCATGTATATATTCATAAATGATAACATTATCATAATATGATCATGAAATTGAGGTTTGTGGCGTAAAGGCATCATGGAAATTGTCAACCTACAATGCACATGTAAAGAATAGGCACGAGGCAAAGTGACATCACCAGGAAACGTTATAACCCCCTCCCCTCTTTTACTGGTGCCTGGAAATGAGTGTAGGACAAAACGGCCCCGGACATAATGTCCCCGGATATAATGGTCCCAAATGTAATGTAGGACACACCAGAAAATCAGCTTCTTTATATAAGGATTAATTTTTCCCTCACAGATGTTGATGTGCTATTCAAATTCTGACGGATGTATAATTGTAAACTTCAAAGTTGCTTGAATCAATAATTGAAATTACTAATCTAATAAAATAATTATAACTCATTAAATAAAATTATTCAATGGATGCAATTTTTTTTTTAAGTACAACAAATACTAAAATCGGATGGCATGACCAACTCCATGCAGGACCTCCTCCATGGATTTAAATCCCTCTCCATACTGGGTGCAAAGTGTTCTCAGCTTCTGTTGCATTTCCTTGTATACTCGCTTCTGCCTCTTCTTGGGGGGGATTCCCTGCAGTTTCTTGCAAAAATTGCGTTGTTTGATCGTATTCAAATCAATAATAAACACTCAAGAATGAATAGGATATATTTCGGCTAGTAATGCTGCCACTTAGGTATAACAGGATGATAAAATATAAAATACTTACCATGCACACAATCACCTATTCCACTGGAGAATAACAGATCTTCCTTCTTTTTTCTGTACTCCGTAAACGCATGAATATTTGAATAGAGGGAAATTGCTCTTTTATACAAATGTAGCTGCAGTAAAAGTGAAGTCGGAAGATAGTCATCAATGAAGGCGGTTGGGTGCTGCTAGTGCTGATTGGAGGATCAGAGGATTAGAGGGTAAACAAGGTGGGATGTTTAACTTTTTGACTGGGAAGTGCTGATTGGATCAGAGGATTAGATGGAACAGAGGACCAGGATCAGAGGATTAGAGGGTAAATAGGGTAGGATGGGTCAAGTAAAATTGCATTAACTGAATGAATTGTGTTAATGAATTATAACTATTTTAATAGATTTTAATAAACTGAACAGCATATAAATATCTGAGAGGGAAAAATAAATCCTTATTCAAAGAAGCTGGTTTTCTGGTGTGTGGAGCCATTATGTCCTACATTGCATTTGGGACCATTATACGTGTATCCGGGGACATTATGTCCAGGGCCATTTCGTCCGGGGCCGTTTTGTCCGGGGTCTTATTGTCTGGTTCCCGATGGAAATATCACCTATATTTTAAAATCTGGTATCTGTCTGTTCAGATGGAGCAAAGATAAAGGTGATTGATCTTTAACAGATCAATCACCTTTCCAAAAAGAGAAATTTTAAAGGAATTTTGAGTCCGGGGAGAACATATACGGTTAATATTATCTTACTTTTCATGACCTCTATTGGGTCAAGCTTAAAGATTAAAGTTCGCCTATCAAACAATTTTAATCAATATGAATTTGGCGATATTCAATTTAAAAAATTGCTTGTGACGAGAACAGTAACGGTGTGAATTAATGGAGCCAAATCCAGAAGGAATCCATATGCTTCCAAATACCGTAGATTTGGCTTCTAGTGCCTGGTTCATGCAAATCCTCAATCAAGAACCTCTTCAGATTTGACTCAGGTCTCTGGCATCAGCCTGCCATTTCTTTCCAGTCGATCACCCTCTGCATATCACTGCTGACTTATCGCGATTCTTGATAGATAAATTCCCTGTCCCAATTCCGTAACACGCTCATAAGTCATTTTTGGTTGTGTAGGAAGAAAATGGCGAGGTACGGTCACATCAATAATTTATTTAATACACTAATAAATAAGTATTGTATATATGTAACGACACGAAACATCAGCTTTGAAATGCTTCAATATTCCTCCATCAAAACATCATAAGGTTCGTCATCTCAAGGTTCGACTCGTCGAGCCGCTCAAGCACCAGAGTCGATGTCCAACGATGAGGCTCAGCGAACGCTGTCCTGCATAGCCTTTTTTCCCTTCTTCGGCGGGACCTGACCGTCATGTGGATCGGTTATCATTCTCCCGACTGCTTCAGACTCGGGAGTTTCGGCAATATCTTGCAGGAGCACGAGAGGGGGACTGCCACGACTCCCCATTGAGGCGGGCGATTGATGAATTCGATGTCAAGTTTGTGGTGCAGGAGTGTCATCCACCCGTAGTCCTGTTCGCATCGGGACTCGAAACGCGGCATGATCCCTGCGATTCAAATGAGAAGTCCGCTATCATCATCGATTCTCTTCATCCTCTGAATCCAAGTTTCGAAGTTAAATTTATGCGTTTAAGTGCAATTTGAACAAGGCGAGGAAATGAATTGAGGCATGTAATGTTGGGCCAGTTATAGCCGGCCTTGATGTAATGTCAAGTTCAGGTTAAAATTATGAATTCACTGGATAGAGGATGCATGAGCATGGTGCTGATACGTACCTACGCAGGGCGTGTCAGGTTTGGAGCATTCGTGATAGAAGATCCTCTGTTCAAAGTCGGATCTTTGAACGATCTCTACTGGTCGACCGTCGAGGTCAAACGTCCTATTTATCTTCTCCCAACGCCTGTGAAGATAAAGAGAAGAAATTTGGATATATTCCGTGCATTCCAGTCCTCTAATGTCCCTTAGTCGATCTCAAATGAATGGTAGACTTACTCGATGCCTTTGCATACATCCTGGAAGCTTATGTCTTGAATGCCTAGAGGTTTGTCTTCATCCTCATTACTGTGACCGCGTTGGCGTTTCCCGTGGTGCTGATGGCGATGTTTATGGCTTTTCCCCGACTTGGAGTTCTGTCAAAAAAAAAGAGCAGAGAATCGTTGTGAAGTCTATGTAAGAATTTTCTCTTCTCTAAGTGAATTTTCAAGAAGTAAAAAAGTACCGGTGTTCTTACCTGGTTCAGATCTTCTGAAGAGATCAGCTCATCAAGAACAGCATCTACTTCTGTTGAGTTATCTTCTAGAGCTTTTGCGTTTGCGGATGTACTCCTCTTCGCACGTTCCTGGAGAGATTCCTCGATTCTCGACCGCAGATCTGCAATCAGTAGGGAAAAATACTCGTTGTATCCCCATTCATAAGGTTCATTAGTTTCGAGCATGAAAGTGAAGGAAAGTATATATTCATAACGGTATAGTTTCTTATCCGGGTTCTATAGGTAAAGTCTATAGCATCTCGGTAGGCCGCGATAGAGAGGTTTCAAGAGTATCGGTATACCGAGAGGCCTACTGTAAAATGTCAGCCGGTAACGAGTTCGGGGAATTCCTTCGGTGACCTCTACGTCACGCTCCCTGATGCAATCCAGCGTCACAGGGCCGTGAGACAGGTCTCGTCATGCATCGCGCGCGCACGCGTACTCCATCCCCTTGCACGTGCACAGCCGGTAGAGGCCTCATCGAGGAGATGGAGGCCACCTCCCGCGTCTCCCGAACACGCTGCTGGAAGCTGCTTTCGCCACAACCGACTCTGTTGCACCTCTACCACGTGGAGGATCCGTGACTGATGCCATTCGGTCGTCAACTTCATCAGTATATTAGAGGGTGGTATACAAATCCCATCTGTCTCCACCGGCACTAAACTTTGAGCTGGGTCGGGCTTCCTTAATTTAGATGCTCTAATTCTATCTTTGCGTCATGTTTGAATAAAAAACCTCCAAAAAACAGTCATATAAGCTGCGCTGACCTGGGCTGCACTGAGTGTAAAACGTGAAAACTACTTTTGTTTCCCAAAAAATTGTGGCTCATGGGCATAGACGCCACTCCTGAATGTGCATTTAGAGTAGCACCCATATTTCAGTTAGACTATTAAAATTCAGTTAATGACTTGCATGTGTTATAATGGTCTGTTTCTCTAGTAGAGTTGGACGCGTTTTCAAGCGACTTAGGAGACAGGTAACACTTTAAAGTGTTAACACTCCATAATTCTATGTTTGCAAATAGGTCAAGATAGTGAATGTTTCTTCTGTGACCATCCTACTACTTATTTACAGAAGGTACTGGCAGTGAAATGAGAGGGCAGACTTACGAAAAGAGGAGGAGAGATGAACGAGAGCGAAGACGGTCATGAGAACGGATGCATGTATGGGCAACATGGCTGAGATCACAATAGTTTCGTAGAGATCACGGATTCAGTTATCAGGCTTCAAGGGAACCTCAAGCGAGTGACTGAAGCCATGAGCGCGAGGCGCGCCTTTTATAAAAAAGGTGCGGCCGGCAGAGAGGGAGAGAGAGAGAGAGATGACGTCAAGATTCCCATCCCATCCCTATCTCCGCCCCGGAACTAGCGGAGCCACTCAGAAAACTCCGGTCGCCCCTCTTCCTGACGTGTACGGGAAATCCTGCAGTTTTCCTGTTGAGCCGGATATCGCAATTCCTTAATAAGGTAACCGCCTGAGCTGGGAGTCTGTCTCAAACTCCCTCATCTGGATAACTGATTTCTGATTTTGTAGTTTCTCCCATCTCGTCGCCTACATTCTGGTAATTATTACGGGAACCCTCAGAACTCTCGTTTGATTTCATTGCACATAGAATGTGTTCATAATAGTTTTTGTTTTTTGATGACCACTTTGCGCATAAAATATGTCTAATTCTGATCTTTGGAGGACGACCCAACAAACCTCTCGGGTAATTTATTATTTGATCACAGTTGATCTCAATAGGTTGCAGCTAAAGACAAATCTACGGAGGACTGTTTTTAAAGATGAAGAAAAAAATTTTTTACAATCTAATTTTGACTGTTGACATTTGTAGAATAATGCCTGCAGCAATGCAAGCAGACCACTGATCAGGCAGAATGCACCACTTGAATAAACAATGCAGCTAAAAATATATTTTGATAAGAGATCCGGAGAGATGAATCAGCAGGAAGACCTGTCGTATTCCTACTCCTACACGTCGACAGCAGCGTAAACAAGGGGTGGCGAGGCCGGAAAACGTTGTTTTATGACCCCAGACCAGACGGTTCCGAATTAACCGTCATCCTTCCGGGAATTCACAGGTCTGAACCTGCACATTCCTTCGTGACCTTCTTAGTCACTCCCTCCTTTCACCGTGCAAATATAGCCACACACCAGGCGTACAAATGATCTTCTAAGAAGACCGGAGGCGCAGGCTATCTTCTACCTCTCCTCTCCTTCGAAGAATTCCTTCGCTTTTTCATAGTATGATAGGAACAAAGTGGTGCCTGAGAATATTCGGTGGTTGGTATGTATGCAACAAAGTCGAAGGACGGTCCATCCTTCAAATCCAGAGGATTCTTCCTCCCCTGCGAACGAGCGAATCGCGTATGAGGATTCTTTCGTGATTTATATACGGAGCGACGTCAGAGATGATGATACATGTTGGCAATCTACACTACATTCGGGACAAAACATATCAAGAATCTTGTTGAATCACTTCCGAAAAACCGAATCCAGGACATCACAGTCCCAAAAATTTCCCCCTGTATGATATGATCCTAGGGTTAGTGAGACGAGCTCCGTCCCTTCTTGTCCGTTCCATACATCACATTAATGAATATAACGAGAATATAATCTGTCTTCTTCAACCAAATTGCACCAATGTTCGGTATCAAAACGTGATTTAACGGTGGTATAAGCCCCGAAACCATTCGGTTCAAAAAGGATTTTCAGCTCAAGGGGATCGAAATTTGCCTCCCTTACCCAATGATTGCATGATCCCGGATATTCTGGTCTCAAAGGGGCAATGGAACAAAATGGTCTCTCTGTGAAAGGTTAAGTATGAACCCCTCCAAGTTAATGACGGAAATGAACTTTCTTCTCAAGTTATCGACTCAAGACAAGCTCATAAGGACAACGTCATTGATTCACTTAGAAGGAACAGATATTGTTGGATCAAATGGGGGAGGAGGATGAGGGAGCAGTCTAGGTCAGATTGACGGACGTAGGGAATGGTGGAGGCTATTAAGTCATTAAGTCAGGGAAAGATGCGGACAAGGTAAGGGAAGGTCATTGCGGGAAATAAACCTCTAATATGGGTTTATGGGTTTTACAAAAAGGTTTGTGGGTTCAAATTCAATTGTTGATGCGATGAAACTTCGTTGAGCAGGTCTCTATTGATGCTCAACTAAGGAGCCTACTTTTTGACATGGCATTGAGTAATGAGAGGAGAGATCCACATGACCAATATTGAGAAAACCCCCCAAAGCATTTTTTTTAAAGCGTAATCCACGAGTCCACCAGAAAATTTTGTGGGGTCAAACCCAATCAACCTAATCCGAAAATGAGAATTTTGTCATTCGGAAGATACCAGTGGATTCTCTGCGTTATTCTGAACCTATCAAGCTATAGAGTTTGCCAAAGGACCAGGGTGTTTCGAACATATGGGGGAAATCTGAGGAACTGCTGGATGGAAAACCGGCCGCACCTATCACTAAAAGAATTTTGACTTTTCGCGCCGAAAGGACGTTCTCTGACTGATTTTTCGTGGCAGAGCGCGAGAAAGATGTCTACGGATGCGAATCTACCCATTATATCATGCAAGTGCAAGGTTGCGAGATGTCATCTGTGCCTGAACTGTGGATGTGACCATGCCGAGGTACCAATTGAGGTGAATCGATTCGAAGGAGAGACCAGTCAGCTTCTGATTGAAAGGCCGGTGAGAATAGGCAACGTAGGGAAAGCAGCAGATAGTTGCCCAACTGAGGAGCCTTTACTGAAACGACAGAGGAGGACGGAACCCTTCTTGGAATAAGTGCTAGTGGTGGCAATCCTCGGAGAAGAGGGGCAGCGCAGGAGACATCTTCCCAACCTGTTCGACTCGTCACGAACGTGGCAGAGTTGCTCGTTTCATTAGGCTTGAGCCATCTAGAGGATTACGATACGAAAAGTTCCCTCTCCAGTAATTTCGGTCGGAACCTAGCAACTGGGAGAATGAGGATCACTCGGGATTGGCGGCAGTGTTGCTCAGCTCCCCAAGAGCACAATTGGAGCGAGGGGTACGAGCTGCAGCACTAAATAGCCAGGTTACCATCACACTCTCCACGCCCTTTGGGTGAATGGTTGGTAGGGGGTCTCATCACTCCTACCCCACTGATCAAAGGATATCAGCCAGTCATATTACGTAGTTCTAATTTTACCCAATCAGATTAACGGAGCTCAAGAGCTGGGTCTAATTGGCTGGAATCTGAGGGCTAGTTACAAAACTTTTTATTCGGAGGAGGTGCGGCCACCCCCCTCGGATCCTCAACTTAGAAATCTCATATCTCTAAAACTTACTAGGGCCCAACAGAAATAAGGTCATTTTTGGAATCAGTAAATCATGGACTGTCCTAATATTCCTTTTTCGGTCTTTGATTCAGGCTTCCGGATTTAGTTGTCTTTAGTTGTCCCAGGGGTGACCCCACCAGATCCCATTATTTTGTTCTGGTTGACTCGTAGATGTTAAACTGAAACCTGGACTCTTAACATGTCATAAAGGGCGACCAAAAAAAAGTCGTTACAGCTTTACATTTTGTACAAATTTATTCTTCCAATTATTTTCATCCAAGCAAGGAAGGCGATACAAGAAGCTTCATCAAGTTACAGATTGAGGTTTTTTTGAAAAAGTATCCGTCTGTGGTTGAACTCAGTCCAAGTGAAAGAACAATAAAGTCATTACACCTGTAACGACATTTTTTTCGGTCACACTTTCGACCTCTACAGTAGCCTTGAGCTCTGGAAATTTAGAAGCAAATGTCTCCATATGCCACGGGAGGGGGTGAGGGATAACCCCCCCACCCAGTTGTTATGCCTTGTTACGATAGAGATAATTTTGTCAGAGGGCCATTTTATCAGGACACCGAAAGTCTTGATACAAGACGGGGAGCAAGAATCGCCTGCGAAGGCGGTTCTTCGGCAAAAGTATAAAAGCTTAAGCGCCCGAATGCTGAAACCTGTAGTAAGCGGACGTTTAGGAATCCTTGAACTCCTTTGGGGGGAAAGGGGATCGTGGGCGTTTCGTACAAAACTGAATCACTGAAAGCTCCTTTTCACGGAAAAGTCGCTTCGCCGAATACCGGTTTTAGAGAGGAGGGTCGTTTCGTGGGGAGTCGTTTACTAGATGAAGACCTGTTAGCACCGGCCCAGCTGAAGATCTTTCACCCTTGATGGCTTCTTTCAGAATCGTGCACAGGAACGGAGTCCTTGGAGATTTTGGCAATGGAATTAGTGACTTCGAGACGTGGCCAGCATCAATTAAGGGTGGAAGGCTATAAATTCAACGCAAACAAGAGAGGAAAAAACGAAAGGGTATATTGGCGCTGCATCCATGAAAGGTTCTCTGTCATCGCCACTACGGATGGAATGGACTTCATAAAATGGCCATCTGAATTTCACAATCGCTTCTACGAGAAGACCAGGAAAGAAGCGCTTTTTAATTTACAAACCTCTTTATAAACGAAGTTTCTATATTCTAGCCTAACTCGTCGATAAGTCTAAACTGTCAAGAATGAAGTGGGCTTCCTTACCCACCTTGCATCCCACGGCCACTGGCAGGATATTTAAACGAAGGGGCAACAAGGTCGGAGAA